CAGCAAATAAGGTTGTATCATCTGCATATTTACAGGTTGTTTATGAGACATCCTCCAGTCTCAATGCCACTTTCTTCTTCATATAATCCAGCAAATAATAAATATGAATATTAAGTATGAATAACTATGATGAAAAGATAAAACCTAGCACACACATTTCCTGATTTTAAACCTTTCATTGCCTCCTTTTTCTGTTCTAACAATGGCCTCTTGGTCTATGTACAGGTTTCTCACGAATACAATGAAATATTCTGCTGTACCTATTCTTCACAATGTTATCCATAACTTGTCCACACAGTTGAAGATCTTTGCATATTCAATAAAGCACAGGTAAAGACCTTTTTGGTATTCTCTGCTTTCAGCCAAGGTACATCTGACATCAGCAATAGTGCCCTGAGTTCCATGTCCTCTTCTGAGTCATGTTGACATTTCTGGCAGTTCCTGGTCGATGTAGTGTTGCAGCTGTTTTGAATTATCTTCAGTAAAATTTTGCTTGCATGCTGTGTTAATGATCCTGTTTGATTATGTCCACATTTGATGGATCACTTCTCAGGAATGGGCAAAAATATGAATCTTTTCTAGTCAGTTGGTCAGGTAGCTGTCTTCCTATTTCATGAACACCTCCTGTGATGCATCGGTTTCTTGAAAGATTTCAATGTGTATTCCATCAATTCCTGGAGTCATGTTTTTCGCCAAAACATTCAATGCAGGTTGGTTATCTTCCATCAGTACGATCGGTTCTTGATCATTTACTGCACCTCAAAATGGTTGAACATCGACAATTGCTTTTTAGTGCAGTGAGTCTTTGTATATCTTATGTCTTCTTTTGATTCGTTCTGCATCATTCAATATTTTGCTCATTGTTGTTGTTGTTGTTAAGTGCCGTCGAGTCGGATTCGACCCACAGCGACCCTGTACAGGGTTTCCGAGGGTGTAAATCTTTACGGGAGTAGAAAGCCTGATCTTTCTCCCACGGAGCAGCTGGTAGTTTCGAACCGCTGACCTTAAGGTTCGCAGCCCAATTCGTAACCACTACGCTACCAGAGCTCCTTAGGATCCTTCAATATTGCAAGTTGAGGGCTGAATTTTTTGTTCCGTTCTTTCAGTTTGAGAAATGCTGAGTGTGATCTTTCCTCTTGGTTTCCTAAGTGAGGTCTTTTCACATTTCATTATAATACTTAACTTTTTCTTCTTGAACTGGTATTTTGATTTTAGCTCTAACTAGCTCATTTCTTGCATTCACGTTAGAATTTCTACACTGGAAAGCAAATTTCAGATTCTCTTCTGACATCAATTTTTGTCTTTTCTGCCTTTTTAATGATCTTTGCTTTCTTCCTATATGATATTCTTGAAGTCATCCTACAGCTCATCTGGTTTTCAGTCATCAGTGTCTAATGCATCAAATTTATTCTTGAGATGATATCTAAATTCAGATTGGTTATGTTCATGATCCTATTTTGTCTCTTGTGGACTTGTTTAAATTTTATTCAGTTTTGGCTTGAACCTTTATATCAACAATTGATGGTTTGTTACACAGTCTGTCCTTGGACTTGTTTTGACTTATGATATGGAGATTTTCCACCATATTTTTCCACAGATGTAGTTAATTTGATTTCTTTGTAGTCCATCTGGTGCAATCCACGTATATAGTCATATTTTATGTTGTTGAAAAAGTTACTTGTAATGGTCTTTCAAAATTCTATCATGCTATCTTCAGCATCATTTCTTACACCAAGGCCATATTTTCCAATTACTGAATCTTCCTCTTTGTTTCCAACATTTGCATTCCAATCATGAGTAATTACCAATACAACAGAATTGCATGTTTGATCAATTTCAGTCTGAAGAAATTGGTAAAATTCTTCAGTTTCATCATTACTATCACTAGGGGTTGGTGCACAAATTTGAATACTAGTGGTATTAACTGGTCTTCCTTCTAGGCATGTGGATATTATTCTATCATAGACAGCATTGTACTTCAAGATAGATCTTGAAATGTTCTTTTTGACGATGAATGTGACACGATTCCTGTTTAGTTTGTCATTCCCGGCATAGTAATTCTTATGTTTATCTGGGTCAAAGTGACCTATCTCATGGTATCAGCTCAGCAAGACCTGGGATATTGATTTTTATATGTTCCATTTCATTTTTGACAACTTCCAATTTTACTAGATTCGTACTTCGTACATTCCTTGTTCAGATTAATAATGAATGTTTGTAACTGTTTGTCCTCATTTTGAGTTGTGTCCTATCAGCAGTTTTATTGCATTCAAGTCATCACAGCCGATTCTACTTTGAGGAGGGAGCTCTTCTCTGAGAACTCGTCTTCTAGCACTATATCTGACAATATTCTGGTGCTATCCATGTTTCCTCTAGTGTTTAGAAAACATTGAAAGTGCCATGTGCTGCCAAAAGATCCAACAGATCTGTGTTGGAAGAAGTGCAGCCACAGTGCTCCTTGGAGGCCAGGATGGCCAAACTTTGTCTCTCATACTTCGGACATGTTGTCAGGAGGGACCAGTTGCTGGAGAAGGATATCATGTTTGGTAAGGTGGAGGGTCAGAGAAAAAGAGGAAGACCCCCAGCGAGACGAATTAGGAAAGTGGCAGCATCAATGGGCTCAAGCTTGGCAACAATAGTGATGTTGGCCCAGGATCGGGCAATGTTTTGTTCTGCTGTGTGTAAGGTTGCTGTGAGTTGGTATTGACTCAATGGCACCTAACAACAACAACAAGAACAACTCTTCATAAGATTGTCAGTAGCTAAATATTCAGAAGTAGTTCGCTTCTCCTTCTTTCTAGGCTGTCTTTGTCCAGAAGATCAGCTGAAACCTGTCCACCATGGGTGACTCTGCTTGTATTTAAAATACTGACGGCTTAGCTTCCAGCATCACGGCAACTTGAAAGCCACCACAATACCACAAACCAACAGACAAGCAGTAGTTTTAATATCTAGATACCTTTAATTTTTCATAAAAGTTATTATTGTTGTATGCTGTCAAGTCGGTTCTAACAGTGACCTTGCTTAAGGTTTCTGAGAGTGCTGGTGGAGAATTGTTGATTTTTCAGTTAGCAGTCCAGTGCTTATCCTATAGCACCACAAAGTAAACGTCTAAATGGACAAGAGGTCTATGACCACGGAAAGAATTATATGCATATCTTACGTCCACCTAATGGGTCTAATTGAGTGTGGTGGCTCTGTAAGATAAGCACTGGACTTCTAACCATAAGGTTGGCAGTTTGAGCCTACCAGATGCTTCAAGGAAGAAAGATGAGTTTTTCTGCTACCATAAAGATTGACAGCCTCGGAAATCCTATACAAGGTTGCTATGAGTTGGAACAAACTAGATGGCCCTTAACATCAACAGCAACACATTTGGTCTGATGTAAATATTAATAAAGAATGCATTATGTATCATTGACTTTTTGGCAGACATTATGTGATTACTTCCTATTATTGATTTATTCAACATTGATTAAATTCAGTGATTTTATTAGATATAGATGATTAGGAAGTATCCTCAAAGATTCTCAAGTCAGTGTTAGTCAAAAGAGTCATGAAATCTGTATCTTTCTACATCCGTCATGGTTTTATTTATAAATACTAGTTTAAACATATAGCTAGAACAATTCTATGGGCTAGAAACCTGCTACTTCTTGTTTCATTTCCCTCTTTCCTCATATTAAGTTGTTTGCAATCTGTAGCCTTACATATTAAAGGCTCATTTCTCTTGAACAATGTAATATCAACAATGCACATAAAAAATGTCCCAGAAGAAGCTAATTTTTTATTATTAAATCTTACCTGAGTCACAATGGTAGAGGTAAAAACGCTTTGGTCATAGATCCAACCATCCAGGCAGGGCTCCGTGTCCAGTTCATTGATATTGGCAACTGATTCATTGAGATCTAAGAGTTGCCACTGTATCTGCTTGAACCTTCGGCACTGCTCTGGTTTCTGGTCTGGACTCATTGGAATGGAGACTCTCAAGAGTTCTTCAGTTGTCAGATTCTTGGTAAAATTTGTGCCAGATTTAGTACTGTCCAAGAGGTGGATATAGCAACGGTGAGCAGGAGTAGCAGCTGAAAAGTTTTCCACTAACATGTGCGTGATCATTAAGATATTTAACAGTCCTGTCAGAATGCTTTGTATAATTTGGAATTTCCCGAAGTCTCCTGCACATTGTAAAAGTTCAGAGAAGGCCATGGCTAAGCAGAGAATTGAGTTTTCTGAAGATAGCTGGTATAGTAATGATGATCCTGGATAATGAAAAGATACAATTTACTGTGAACCTTTAAATGTGTAGTCAAAGCTTGACATATTTAAGTGGTTATAAAAGAAGTGAATATTTTCACTAGCCTCTTGTAAGAGTTATTTCTGTATCAAAGATACAATAGGTTGATCTAGAAAATAGTATTCCTACATTGAACTTCCACATAGGATTTTGATCTGGAGTTGGACTCCTCGAATCCCCTTAATTGTTCAAGGAATGGTTAAGAAATACAAGCTACCTGATCATGAAAGAAAATTAGTCAAACATTGATGGACTGGGATCATAGACCATAACCAGTTAATCAGTGTAGCGCAAAAGCAGACTAGGGCCAAAATTGAAGTATCCCCAAGTTGGATGAACGATGAACAGACTTTCCTGCAATAGTGGACGTAGCCATGGTACCTAATTGTTGCCAAGTCCAGTAGAATCTACTTTTGAGAGCCTGGAGGCTTTCTTTTTAAGCTTTAAAAAAGACAGTTCTATTTTGCAAGTTTCTATATGCTAGGGGCCAGACATGGTTGTAACGATCACACAATCTCTTCCCTGGCTAGCAGGAAGTGATTATGTGGTTATTCAACAGTACTCAGAATAATGGACTAAGGCTTTTCTTTTGTCCCTCCCAACAGAGGTAGTTTTATTAATGCCATGCCAGACAGAGCCTGGTGAGATCTGAGTCCTGGTGTGGCTCTGCGGGTTAATGCCTGGGACTGCAAAGTCACTTTGGACCACAAGATTGGCAGTTCAAGCTCACCAGTTGCTTCTAGGAAACCCTATACAGGGTCGCTGTGGCTTGGAACTGACTCTGACACTTAAAAACAGCAAAAAGTTACTGATTAACAACCTGCAATATGCAGATGATACAACCTTGCTTGCTGAAAGTGGAGAAGACTTAAAATACTTACTGATGAGGATCAAAGACCACAAACTTCGGTATGGGTTGCACCTCAATGTAAAGAAAACACAAATCCTCACCACTGGACCAATAAATAACATCCATATAAATAAATGGAGAAAAGATTGAAGTCAAAGATTCCATTTTGATTGGATTCAAGATCAACTCTCATGCAAACAACAGTCAGGAAATAAAACGACATAGTGGATTAAATAAATCTGCTGCACGAGACTTCTTTATAATGTTCAGGAGCAAAGATGTCAGCTTGAGGACTAAAATGGGCCTGACCCAAACCATGGTATTTTCAGTAGCCTCATATGCATGTGAAAGCTGGACAATGAATAAAGAAGACTCTATAAGAATTGATGCATTTGGATTATGGTTTTGGAGAAGAATGTTAAAAGTGCTGAGAGCTACCAGAAGAAAAACATATCTGTGTTGGAAAAATTACAACCAGGTTACTCCTTAGACGCAAAGCTGACCAGACTTTGTCTCTCATACTTAGGACATATTATCAGGAAGGACAAGTCTTTGGAAAAGGACATCATGCTTGGTTAAATGGAGAATCAGTGAAAAAGAGAGAGACTTGAAACAATGTGGATTGCCACAGTGGCATCTGTAATGGGCTCAAAGAGTAACAATTGTGAGGTTTGTGCAGGACTGGGCAATATATTGTCCTATTTTGCGTAAGGTTACTGTGAGTTGAAACTAACTCAGTGTCACCTACACCAACAACAATTTACCACTGGAGTCCTGGTGTGGTGCTGTAGGATAAACAATGGACTGCTAACAATAAGAACTGTGGTCCAAACCCACTAGCCACTCTTCAAAAACCCTATACAAGGTCTCTATGAGTCGGAACCTGCTTAACAGCACTTAACAACAACAAAAGTTATCCTTAAGGAAGGAATAGTTTAGTAATATATGGTGGTTATGTGCTGTAGAGTCAGTTTCGACACATAGCAACCCCGTATAGGGTTTCCGAGGCTGTAAATCTTTATGGGAGCAGAAAACCTCATCTTTCTCCTGTAGAACAGCAGTAGTTTCAAACTGCTTACCCTGAGGTTAGTAGCCCGATTCATAACCACTACTCTACTAGAGCTTCTTAGTAATATATGGTGTGTGTATGTAATTGAGTCCTGGTGTGGTGCTGTGGCTTAATGCGCTGCACTGCAAGGTTGGTTTGAACCACAAAGTCAGCAGTTCAAGCTTACCAGCTGCTCCTTGGAAATCCTTTACACCGTCTCTATGAGTCTGGACCAATTCGATGGCACTTAATGACAACAACAACATATAACTGATACTAAACTAAGTTAGAAGCAACAGATTTGGAAACAAAAGATTCATTAAGATCTTAAGAACATAACACTACAGTAAAAAAAAGTAAAATGGAATTTTATGTAAACAAAATTCATACATTTGCAAAATAGTGCATATTTCAAAGGTATTGCATACATATTTATATAGCTTTGAATCTATATGTTCCCATGTATGTGTGTGTATATATCTGTGTGTGTGTGTATTTCCAAGGAACTTGAACTGCTGACCTTGCAGTTCACACATATACAGAGATACACACACACATACACACACATATATATGTTGTTGTGAGGTGCCGTTGAGTTGGTTCT